GTGGCTCTCCTCTGCACTCTCTCAAGCTTCTCCACATCCTTTTTGAATTGTGGAGCCTGAAAATGGATGCAGTACTCCAGCTGCGGCCTCACCAAGGCTGAATACAATGGGAGAATGGTGTCCTGGGATTTGCTTGAGAAGCATCTATGGATGCAAGCCAGCATTTTGGTCATTTTACTAGCTGCAGCATCACAGATGGCTCATGTTCATCTTGTGGTCAATCATGACCCCCAAGTCCATCTAGTCTGTAATGCTAGCCAGTGTAGCAGTGCCGAGCCTATAAGTATGCTGAGGGTTTTTCTTCCCAAGGTGAAGAACCTTGCATTTTTCAGTGTTGAACACCATCAGGTTCTCATCCGCCCATTTCCTGAGCCTGTCAAGGTCTGCCTGGATCGCCCTCCTGTCCTCAGGTGTGTACACTTTATCCCAAAGTTTAGTGTTGTTGGCAAACTTGGCCAGTCTGCTTCTAATATCAATGTCCACATCATTAATGAAGAAGATGTTGAATAGTATAGGCCCAAGGACAGAGCCTTGAGGGACCCCACTGGTCACAGAACATGATGATGGACTTCCATCAACCACCACCCTCTAGGTTCGACCACAGAGCTAATTCCCCAGCCAGCGGATCATGGTGAAGCTGAAGCTGCAGTTGGCCAGTTTTGCTAAGAGGTGATCATGGGAGACCAGATCAAAGGCTTTTTTAAAGTCAAGATATATGACATCAATCTCTTCTCCCTTGTCCTGGTTTGCTCCCTGCAGGTCTGAGGATTGAGAGGTGTAAAGAGGTAATGGGCAAAGGGGAGGAGATTGGCACTGTCTAGCAAGGAAAGACCAGAAGTTAGTGAGGAAGAAAGCCTAGATATGGAGCTAAGACTTAAAGGCTGCATTCCTTTAGTTGTTCCTGAGATGGATCTGAGGAAATGTAGTGTCAGAAGAAAACCACAACTGTCCACCCAAGAGGCTGTAACAGGGAGCTTGGGTAGAGGAAAGACATTACACAAATAATCTACGGTAGTGTATTGGAACTAGAAAAACTAGCCAGGAGGAGGGTGAGAGATCACAACTAAAAGACAAGAATGGGGAAAGGAGGAGGAGGAGGAGGAAGAGGAGAATTGGAATGCAGGGGAACTGGGAAAGAAAAAGCAGATGGGGAACACCTGGAACAGGAAATGCTACACACTGACCCTAGGACTGGCTGGACACAACCTGAAGCAGAGATAAGCAGCATGAAGGGTGAACAGAGCTTGAGCAAGCAAGGAAAAGTTTGCATCTGTAGTGAAGGAGTCTGGCGTGTCATACCAGACCTCACCTCCTGCAAAAGCTGGAAAGCGAAAAAAGTGAATGAAACAGATGCAAAAACAAAACAAAACAAAAAAACCAAAACACAAAGTAACTTCATCCCTTAGCAACTAAATTCTATTTTCACCTGCACAAGAAGAGTTGCTGTATAATGCTATTGAAATAACTTAAGCCACACATGGTCACAGATTGTGTTCCTCATTTTGTGGCTGCCTTATCTTGGAACCTGAATCTACATGTACTCTACAGAAATACATGTGCAGAACAGGAGTCACTAGGAGCTTTGCTTTGTACTTATGGAAGTGCTATAAAAATGCCAAGATCTATAAAAACAGTTCCTAATCATACCAACTTGGCATTCAAAAACTGATGGCTACTTCTAGCCTTTAACCTTATGCCTCAGCTGTCTATCTGCAAAATGGTGATAAAAATACTTTCATCTGGGAGTTGGACTAGTAAATTCATTTGTACCCATTCAACACCAACTAAAACTGTGAGCAACACTGAAAAGATGAGTAGAAAATAATTTTTTTTTTTTTTAAATGTCTCATGCCTATTCATACTACACCACAGACTGAAGAATGAGGATAAAAGAAAGGTCAGAATCCTGTTGCATATTATGCACCCAAATATCAGTTTCAAACCTGCAGCTGCCTGTTTTGGCACTTAGTTTGCAATCCTATTCCATATACAAGGCGTCCATATGGCCATTGTGCTGCACAATAGGCTGTGCTCTGGCCAGGCAAGTACATGGTTCCATACAATGAACCTGGGAGAACACAGGTCCCAAAACTAACTGAGCAGGCAAAAACCCTCGACTGCTACACATTGTTCTAGTAACTGTATTTTAAATTTCAGAGATGGCTATATTTTAGAAGAAGTTGAAAGTATGCCTATGCAAGGAAAAAAAAAAAATGCAGCTGCTTGTACATGCAGTCAGCCACTCTGGGATAGGAGGTGCTGTAAGTAATTATTGCAACAGGCAAGAAACAATACATAGTAAGTATGGGAAGATCCTATGCCAATACTAACTCTGTTCATTTCCTGCTACTTGGTATACCATCCAAAAATGCTTTGATGTCCATCTTAGCTCCTCTACATTATCTCATTACTACCAGTCATAAGTTTTAGAGAATCTCTCTCTAACTTGGTGTGTCTTGCTCAACTAATTGCCAATAGCTTTGTTTCTGCCACCACTTAGGTTTCTCAGATGTTAAGAACTCTCATGTCTGAAGATGTTGAATTTTAACCCCCAAGCCAGCTATCATGACATTTGCGTGAGGCAGCTTCTGAATTCTCTGGATTCAGAGTCAGTTTTGCTTTTCTAAAAATCAGAGAGTAAATCAGACAGATGTAAGGAAAAAGGAAATGGATATGCTGGAAATTTACTATTGGTTCAACATGAAGTAAACTGAAGTGCAGCTGCTCCGAGAAAGAAAAAAATTAAGTGAAAGGATGAGAAACTCCTCATCAAGAGACACAAAACAGTTGTAGTTTTTAATGGAAAAAATCCACACACAAGAAAGATGGAGCTTGAAATCGATATGGCTGTCACGTGGGCAGAATGCGGTTTTTTATTTGAAAGTTCAGGACATGTCAATCTACCGCCTCTAAGGTTATTGTTAACAATAGCACCTTTAATATCTTATGGCTCTTCAGTTTAAATTCAGCATACATACCTGAAGCCAGCACTCGGAGGGTTTTAGCCACACCTCCCCATGGGGCACCTAGCGACACATAATCCTTTATGTGCTTGTCTTTCCATTCTTGAGTCTGGTGATTGAGGAAGTACAGCGTGTACATATTACCCATACTGTGAGCAATTAACACCACAGGACTTCCATACTGTTCATACATAGACTCTATCATCTTCCGAAGGGCAACAAAATAGTCTCCATTCTCATCTAGAAACAGCAATAGACAGGCAGTTTATGTAGAATAGTCAAATTAAGTGGATTTACAAAATGCTAGCTTTCCATATACTTGTTGGGGTTTTTTTAAATGCTAGAAGTCAAATAAGCAGGTTCATATAAAAAAAAAAAGTATGGGTGCACCAAAAGAGATTTTGGGGACCGATACCAACAGTCAATATTTAAGGAGGTATATCAGCCCATACCGATCTGATATCTGATACAGCTGCCAACAGCTGTTAAATCTGCTGTGGTGGAAGGGTGGGGGGGCACAGCGGGGCAGATCAACATGTCTTGTGGTGAGGGAGGGGGCACGGGCAGGCGCTGCCCAGCCAGGGTGGTGGGTTGGGACATGGACTGGAGGCGCAGCTCATGGGGTATGGGTGGTTCCTACCTCTGCTTGTACCCTGGGATGGTGGTGGTGGGGGGTGCTTTTCTTGCCAGGGGCTCGGTTCGATGCAGGCTCTGACAGCACTGGAAGGAGGCTGCAGCCACCCCAAGTTTCACCACTGCTCTGCTCCAAACCCCGCACCACCACCTACTGCAGCCCCAGCTGAACACCCTAACTCCACCCAGGCACCAGGAGAAGCCAGGGCTACAGTGGGCAGTGAGCAGTGGTGTGGGTCTGGGAGCAGAGCTGCGACAAAATTTAGGGTGGCTGCAGCCTCCTTCCAGTGCTGCTGGAGCCCACTCTGAGCCTGGCCCCAGAGAGAAGAGCCCCACACAGTAGTGACTCCAGCTCCACCCCGCAGCTGCATCCCAGCCTGCACCATGCAGATCTGGCAAGAACCAGCAGGAGCCGCTCCTGCTCCACAAGCTGTGCCTGCATCCTGAGACTTTCCCCCCCACCCCAGCAGGGCAGCACCTGCCCCCTCTCTCACCACAGGACATGTTGATCTGCTCCCCCCACTTCCAACTTGCCAGCTGGAGGCAGCTCTCCACACTGTCAGCTTTGCTCTGTGCTGCACTGCGGCTGCGCACAGCAAAGGCATTTAATCAGCCAAATTATTGGCCCCATCAGGCCAATATAAACAATTCTCTTCATATCGGTACCGATCTGATATCGGACCGATGTATGGGACACATCTAAAAAAAATGCCGTGTTATCATCAGATGCCAGGGTGTTTGCCTATGAAGGACTTGAACTCTGTGGTTTGGTCACAAGCTCAGATGAAAGACACTAATAAATATGTACTACTACATATATATATTAAAGGGTAGGAGTTTCTCAAAGCACCTGACTGATAAAACCAATTCCCCCCCCCAAATGGCAAGATTCCCATCAACTTTAATTAGACCAATGCTGAATACTTTCAAAAGATCAGTGTTGTTCTTCAAAAAACCAAGCATGTTAGAAGCTTCAGGGAAACTTTAAAGTAGACCCTGAAGTCAGTCCCCCCTGCTTGCCACGCTGGGCAATGTTTAGTGTTTGCTGCTGCTGCCTGCCCGGAGCTTGTGCACTGGGCAGCACAGGGGCGGTGGTGGCAAACACTGCCCAGTGCAGCAAGCGGGGGGACTGCAGCTGCCACCTCCACGTGCAGCCCCAATGGCCAAGCCCAGAGCTGGTACAGGGCCCAGGCTGGCAGCGGGGGCAGGTTACAAGCTGGTGCTGAGCATGGGGGGGGGAGGGGGGGAGAAAAAAAAAAAGTGGCCCCTCGCTCACTCCGTGCTGCAGCCATTCCCAGCTCACGTGGGGCTGCCTGTGCCTGTTCAGGACAGCCCTGCACGGGCTGCGAGTGGCTGCAGCAGGCAGCGCCAGCCACAGGGCAGGCAAGGGGCTGCTTTTCCCCTGCGGTCCTCCCCTGCCCTTCCCCCCCCTTACCCGAGTTTCTGGCACGGTGCAACCACATGGTCCAGGGCCATGCTGCTGCAGGAGCCTGCCAGGGATTCCCCTGGGTCCTACTGCCCCCATCTCCTGCCATTTTTGACAGGACCCAAGGACAAATAAATATTAATTTTCTAAATTTTTTATGGGCCCCACAGGCCATATTTTGCCCACCCCTGATGAAGAGAATATCCTTTATCCATGCTATAGACAAGAGATGGAAAAAGTGAGACTACAGTGTAATTAAGAGTACAAGGGTCTGACATTCTTGCACAGATAGTGAGAAATGTATAGGTTTGGACATTGCCCCTCAGCCCTGAATTAAGGACACTACATAAAAGAAGTCTATTTTTCAGGACCCAATCCAAAGCAATTCTATGGTACAAGTTCCACTTGGGGTGGCACTAGGATTTTGAGGACTAGGCTTTAAGATTGTCCAAATTAATTAATAGCAACAGAAAGTCTGAAACTTCACTGAAATTTGGGGGCTTTGCTGGAGTTAGGAATTCGTGTGAAATTACACATGGAGATTTTCCTTGTACTGGGACCCTAAGAACAGTTCTGATCATGACCAAGGTCTGACATGAAATCTGAAGGGGAAAAGGAGTCCTGAACAAAAGAGTCTGCCAAGGACAAAAGATATTTTATTTAGACAGTGAAGTCTCACTTACTTGGTGCCTTCCGCCAGTCATAAGGAGCTCCTCTTACATCTTCGTCTCTCTGGTAGCCCCAATCTACCAGACTCTGCACCAGTGTGTAAAAGTAAGTACCTGCAGACAAAACAAAACAACAAAAACAAAAAACAAAACACCACAGGAGAGAGAAAAAAAAAAGTGAATGAAAAAAAAAAAAAAAAAAACTTACTAACAAAGTAGCCACCATACAGGTTTAAAAAATCAGTGGGCACATCTACAGGAGACACTACTGCACAGTGGTTACTGCACTTACTTAGTACTTGTATAATCAAGTACTAAATAAATGCACAGTAACCAGAGTTAGTGTGCGGTAGTGCTAGGAAACCCCTTTTATGTGATGCTATTGCACAGTAGCCTAATAAAATACCATGCACTAGTGTATTAGCACTATTGGTGCTATGACATGCTACTGTGCAGTATTATTCAGCTACTATGCAGTCAACACCTCATACAGACACGCCCAGTGAGGCTGAAATTTAACCCTAAAGTAAGTTACTCTGCCAACATACATAGAGTTTAATTAATTGTAATAATCCTTTAAACGCAATAAAGGGTCATCTGTATTAGGCAAAATGAAAGATTCATGTTAGGCACCCAGCAGAAATACAAGGAAACTTAATTCTTTGCTAAAATTAGCTAAATTATTGCAAGAAATGTTACCACATTCTCCCTCCCCCCCCCCCACCACTCCACATCTTCCTTCATTTTGTACATCCTGCCCTCTTCTCCCAGATTTACCTCAATAAGGAAACATCTCTAATGACTGTATACACTAGAGTTTTAACTGGCCGTTAACCTAAGGCAAACTTGAGGTAACTGACAATTAAGGCTTTTCCTGCTCCAGTTCACCTGTTTGTGTGCTTTGCCCTATGGCAAAATTCTAGGAACTGTTGTGAAACTAGACTTATTTCTGTCAGAGGATCAGGAACTTTAATCTACTTCAGCACTTTGCATTCACACAATGCTTTATAACAACAAAAAATGGACAGTATTTGCAGACTGGTATCACATGATAAAGGCAAGTGGCATTTTACTTTAACTGATTAGTGAAGTTATAGCCTAAGCAAATATTGCAACAAAAGTAGCAACCTTGAGCTACATGGCCAACTGTTAGAGCAATTAAAAGACTTCAGATAAGCTTTGTTGCTTCAAACCGTAGTCAAAATGGGATTAATGTTAATTTAAAAAAAAAAAAAAAAAAAAAAAAAAAAAAAAAAAAAAATCAGTATATAAAGTTCATTTCCTTACATAATATTATATATTAATTGCCAACTACTAAAGTAACTAGAATACCTATTTAAATATATGTCCTTTGCCAAAGAGAGAGAATGAATTATTCATAGTATATTACATCCATTCAAGAGAAACAGCTCATTTGGAGGAAAACGAACCATCCAGCAAAAAAACCCAAATGCACTATAAATGATTTAGCAGCCAATTGTGTTTGATGGTGCAACCTGCAACCCATAGCTGCCAATCACCCAGAGAGGCTCCTCTCACCTAGTCAGTTTGTCTGAAAGTACACAATAAATTCTGGCCTAGAACTCTAAATATACCCCATTTAGGATCAAGTATGTTACATGTTCAAATTATCTGCCATGAAGTACATACATTCTATCATGAAAAGTCCAGTGTGTTTTCTATGAGAGATTTTCTGTAACACTGCAAGGAAAAAGCCTCAATATTCTCTCCTTTTAACAAGGAAAAGGAACTAAAAGCAGTAGTATCAATCTCCCAAATTCACTGAGTAGTTATTACTGAAATCCAAGGGCTACCTAGCCCAGAGCTCAGCCAAAGCCAGGAGAAGGAATCTTCTTTATTTGTCAAGTCCTAACTGTGAACTTCCTGCTCATCTCAGACCATCTCCTAGAGCAGGGGTGCTCAACCTTTTTGTTCCCGAGGACTGGCCTGGCTCCCCAGCCCAGGACTGCTGCTTGGGGAGGGGGAGGGGGCAGCTGTGAATCGGGGCAACTGCCCCAGGCCCTGCACTTGAGGGGCCCCACAGAGCCAGGTGGAGCAGCTGCAGTGACTCTGCACTGCTGCCAGCTTCATGTCCGGCCGCTCAGCACCCCTTCCCCCCCGCCACCAGATCTGCCACCAGCTTCCTTGTGTCCGGGGCAGGTCCCTGCACAGACCGATTTGCCCTGGGCCCTGCACAGGTTGTCTCTGCCCCAGCCCCACCCGCACAGCCCTGGGTGCAGCAAGTGGGGCTCAGTAACAGGGCGTCCTGGAGCTCCACTCACCTGAACAGCAGCAGCAGCAGTGTGAAGCCTCACCTATCCACCTGCAGCACCACCTGGTTGAGAACCACTGTCCTAGAGCAGTCTTTGGAATGACTATTCAAGCCTCAGAGAATGTTAATTCCAAGTAAAAATAAGTAGTGCCCAACTCTACTTGCCTAATTTACAAAGTTGAACAGAAAGCACTTGAATTCAACATGCCACATACCAAGTGCACATGAAACATGACTGACTGCTGGTAAACTCGTGTCATACAAAACAAAGCCACAACTAAGCATGAACTATCCCACTTCAACCAGTTACTGTCACCTCTCTCAGATTTCAGTAAGGAATTTTAAACTGAAATTGCATTATAGAAATGTGTTGTACATCTGTAACAGTGAACTACATACCAACATTTCTTTTACTAGGATCAAGGAACTCCAAGGCAAATGTCTGCCCAAACCCTGGAACTCTGACATCCACTCCATCTGGTGGCTCTGTGATCTTATTTGTCCGATTGTATATCAGCCTGGAAGGAAAGAAAGACAAATATAAAACATGCTGTCTTACTACATGGCAGCTCTCAAATAAAATGGGGCTTTGTTTGTTGAATGATTTTAAGAGCTATTACTTACAAGAAAATAACGTTCGTCAGACACTTACAAGGGCACTTTCATGCTAAAGTGCCTACATGCAGTGCAAACAGCTCTCTTATACTATTCTACCTGATTTAGGAAAACAAATAAAGCCTGTTTTCAGTGTGTAGAAATGGAATATGTTGTCAAAGGGTAGACTTGAACCTTATGGAGAGAATGTGAGCTGCCTCTCATAGTTCTTGGAGGGAAACTTGTTATGAATTTGTGACAGGCTGACACGTGCTTGAACTTAGATACTGCAGTATCAGAATACTGTTGCTAAAAAGGGGAAA